ACCGACAACTCGGCACATCTGCAATTCCTCTGGAGGCTTGAGAGGTGGTGCTGTAGTTAATGGGGGATATTGGGTGGTATGGGGTGTTCTATTGGCTTAACTTTATAGCTGTCCCTTCACAAAAAAATATGGGGGTATATATATATATATACATATATATATATATAACTAACTAGGGTGATGGTATGCCTACTGGTATGCTTTAATAGACTACATTATAAATATAAATATTATAAATACTGTATATCATATACAATCATATACATATCTATCGTTAATGGGGGATTATGAACCAACTTTCATAAATGGTGGAGGTCACCACCTTCTGGCAGCCTGCCCATGCTGGGACTCCCGTCACAGCGACGCCCACGGCCAGCCGACCAAGCACCGTCGTACGCGTTCGGCGACGCAGGGCAGCCTGGCCGGGGGGGTGGAGGTGTACCCGCTGGCAATCAAACATAGCTGGGACATCCCAGGTTTAAGCTCCCTTTCACACTGAAACCTCCATTTATAGGAGAATTTTACCCTCAATTCATGGGCTAAATATTGCTAAATATGGCTAAATATGGCTAGATATGGCTAAATATGGCTAAATAATGCTAAATATGGCTAAATATGGCTAAATATTGCTAAATATGGCTAAATATTGCTAAATATTGCTAAATATGGCATGTATGGTGGAAAACTCATGGATCCATTGCATTTTTGTAGCGGGATTTCCACTCCAAAAGTTGGATTGGAAATGGGTGGTATGCGGATGGGACTGACATATATGCAAATGACTTGCCTGCACCATCGCGGTGTGAAGCAACGCACCCGATGCGTACTGCAACCGTACTGCAACCGTACTGCAACCGTACTGCAACCGTACTGCAACTTCGCTGAGGCAAGATTGGGGGCTGCGCACTATGATAAGACTATGCACTATCATATCATAACTCTTGTGACATGAAATGGCTGAAGCTTCAACCAAAGCATACCAGAGATTTGCTTGTTGATCTTGTACTGTTGCACATCTGCTCCCTTAAAATGTTTACGGTTTCAGTTTGGGCTTGCAAGACCAGAATGCTGCTAGAACATGCTCACCATGTTTAGTTTCTGCGCGGAGTCGAGCATAGAATGGTCAGCTGCAAGATGTGTGGGTCTCAGCCGATATCACAAACCCACTGGGCGCATTGGGTGTTCACAGGAGATTCTGGATATCAGCAAACGATGGATTCTGGGGATTCTGATGGATCTTCACTGCTTCGCCAAGTCTGAAACTCAGAATCCAAAGATGATGGTCAGCAAGGCAACGAACTTATCCATCCATCGGTTGGACACCATGTCAAACCCCATCCCCGGCAGAGCTCGGCACTTCAGGAAAGCAAGGACATAGTCAGAGAGCCTTGGTCGATAAATTCTGGGCACCAAACAACAGGACCCGAAAATTTGACCGCTACTTTCCTTACCCTTTTGGTCAATGGACAATCCACTGCAAATAAATGTTTTAATATGTTCTAGTTGGAAAACCATCTATAAATGGAGCTATGTTGAATTACTGGAAGTACTAACAATTTTAACAGCTGATGGTTATTAGTAACCTTCCCAAAACCTGGGGGTTGATATTTTTGGAGCTGCCTCAAACTTTGGAAGCTTTATATAGATCCTATTATTTCACCATCACATATCATCACATGCTCCATCGGGCCATCAAAAACATGGGAAGAATTCGGGTGTGTCCAACTTGATCGAAATGTCCCGTGCGCAATGGCCATCATTGGCCATCTTTGATAGGTAAATTCATGGATTAATCATGGATTAATCATGGATTAATCATGGATTAATCATGGTAAATCATGGTAAATCATCTACTTTCACTATCGTTCACTCATGTCAGGCTCTCGCTCCATATCCAAGGCACCATTCCATGTCATCGCCCTCCGCCATTTTCGCAGCGAGCCGAGACTTGTGGAAGGTCCCTGACGACACGGACGACAGGGTCAACCGTCAACTGGGGGCCTGAAGTGTTACAACAGTGGAATACCCTCTGGTTATGTCAAAATAGCTATTGAAAATGGCCATTTATAGTGAGTTTTCCCATTAAAAATGGTGATTTTCCATAGTTATGTTAGTTTACCAGTGGAATAACAGCACTTGGAGATTCGGGGCTTGTTTCGAGGTCATTTGGGGATTGTTTCTGCTGGGGATATACTACTAGTGTTACCCTCAATGGATTGATTGGGGTTGACATGGGTTAAGCCTCGAAAATGTCCTATCATCCAAATCTGGCACAGAAGGAAAAAAAAACGGACCAAGAATATGGAACTGGACCAAACAAGACTTCACAGATTTTGGATGATTTAGGATATTGCCATTGATTGATTGTGAATATGTGTCAAGAATTGTCATTTCTTTGCAGCTCTTATTCGCTTCCCTGCTCTTACCCGCTGGGCTGTATGTAGATCGCATTATGGATTACACGTGTCTCCCCAACGACTCCATTCTAGTTCTTCCACTCAAAAGTCTTGCTAGATGTGTAGCCTCGACATTGCCAGATTGCAAGCTACCAAGAAAATGCACATCGAACTGGCAACCCTTTCGGAAATCATCGATAATATCAATCTATCAACCCACATGAACTTCCATCTTTCGGTTATTCTTGGTCCATCTTTTGGTGTTTTTTGGTCCATCTTTTGGTGAATTCAATCCCCAAATACCACGCTCATGTTGGCCGTGCAGCACCTGTGCCCGGAAATCTCGGGCGCAAGCTTGGGCCAACACTTGGGCCCTTCTTGACTTGAGCTCAAAAGCTAGTCATGGCATGTCATGGTTGGCCCATGGCCGGTCCAACAAAATCTTTTTTTTTTGTTTTATGGGCCAAAAAGCCTCTAAAGTCTACCGGAATGATCTTGATCATTCTGTGTCCTGCGAAACCCAACACATAGAAAGTATCCCTGGTATAGTAGCTATCCCTGATATCACTCATTCTTGGACACTCCCATATATGCTTGAGATTGGTCGAGCATATGGTCACTTTTTCGTGCTTGCAGCCCTTGCGTACCAACACTGCTTTGGGCAGCTGCTACTGGTACCCCCTGGAATACATCAAATATGCTGACCCACTTGGAACCAATGGTGCCCTTTTGGGACCAATAGAGGGGCTAACCTTAGGCGTATCATCATCATCATCATCATCATCATCATCAGCCTATATATTGATTCCCAGGAGCGCCTCAGGCCACAAAGAGTTTGAAGTGCTGCATACGGCTACGGCTGAAAAATTGCGCCCTGACTTTGTATACCCAGACCATCCAGTTTTGATGGTCATCAGCAGTTGCTGTTTCAGCTAAGAAATTTGTTCGTTCACGGAGCCATTCTGGGATGGTTTCCCGACGCCTTTTCCTCCCGCGTCGAGTCGGGTCGAGGGCCGCCCTAAGCGGAAAGGAACTTGGGAGACTTGGCCTCGCCATCCATTGGGGGATCTGTGGACACGGCAACAGGATCACTCCAGAACACCATACCAGCCATCACTGCAGAACATACCCATTTTAAAGCATCACTTCAAAACACACTTCCAGTGGGAACATAGCATATATGATGTATATATGTAATTATATATATTAATATATAAATATTATAATCTTTATGTATCTGTATTACCAAGACCCAATAATCGGATCTGTGTCTGAAAATGTCGGACTTACACCAGGTCTGCGTGCAACAAGCGACAGTCTGAGATGATCATCCAAGGGTATCCGTATAGAAAGCAGCTACAAGGTTGAGGAATTACATTTGGAGTTCAGGAGGAGTTGATGTTTAATGGACGTCAATGCATTATAAATGGCATTATTTATATTTATATTTATTATATTATATATATAGCAGTTCATGCTGAGTTAATGGGGATAATAGTCTAGCATATTGTATGGATTTGTATGGGATATGATTGGTATATCCCCCTTACAATATTGATCTTAAGGTGGGGGGCGCGATTTATAAGAAAGCCTTTATGAAATGGGAATTCCATGGGGATGCCTGTTTATAGAATTCAGATACTCAATGCTACCGCAATATAGGAACTCCAATTAGCATTTTATAAGAAAAAACACCAGCTTATAATATGACAGTCCATAGTCCAAAAAAACAGCTTATAGATCATGGCCAGACAATTTACTTTTTTTTGATTACATTTTATCCATTTTATAAGGTGGGAGTGGAAATTCCACAAATTATCACAAATTTATACTGAAAGTGACAAACTGTCATTCTATAAGGCACCTCCAGGGCATATTATAAGATATTGTAAGAACAAAAACTGTGCAAACCTGATTTTATAAGGCAATGTTCTCCAAATGTTATTAAACGACAACTAGAGTCTATACATGACAAGTTTAAAAGGAACCATGATTTTATAACCCCAACATGTAGTAAAAAACATATACAAATATTTTTTTTATGCTGACCCCGCTCCCCATGTTTTCTCCTGAGGAGATACTGCGGTTTGCCATTTTATAACCCCCAGAAAAAGGGGCGGTTTATAAAATGAGGGTTCGAGTGAGCCACTTCCCAAACCCGTTATTGCAAACGCCCTCATTTTATAAGCAATTTTCATTCTTGATTTTTTAGGGTTGGCACCGATTATTATTTATAAAATGCGCCCTCTGGGGGGCACAACTTTATAAGGGAAATTATAAGGGGGATATTGGTATATGACTCATATGACTATGATGTAGCTAACATTAACATACACCTGGAAAGCCGTAGTTGCCTATTGTTTCAGGCTACTTTGGCCTGGTAGCCCCTTTTTGTGGCACTTTGCAATTCTCACACCAAAAAAAGGCACTTCATCTTTTGCTGCAAAAATGACCATAAAAGTGCCGTAAATATCCGTAAAGTGCCATAAATACCCGTAGAAATCCTACTCCTAAAATGGTATACTTTCCAGTGACCAAAATTTCGGGCACTTTGGAAAGTGCCCAAAACAATGGGCACTAGGCTTTCCAGGCATTAACTATAGACTATAGTTGGCGGAAATTTTCCGTGTTAAAATCGGTCAAAAAAGCCATTTTGTGCTTTCGGCGCCTGAGTCGCCTTGATCTGCTTTTCCAGGGCAGAGACCTGGGTGAATCCACTTGGGGACCCCAAGCCATTTGCACTTTTTTACAGGTGAGCAGCATCCAAAATGCATCAAAATGCATGGGTTTATCGATGTTTATTGTTTTTATTTTGGAGTTCTACTAAGTTGTTGACAAGAGATCATTACAATCCATTGTTGGACTAGCATGGAATTGCTATAAATACAAACCGGTAGAACCAGTTCCCAACCAGGCTTTTGAGGCTGCTCAAGCCAGGTGTAGACAGCTTTCGGGAGTTGCACTGACAAAACAAGTCAAGACACCTATGGGACTAAAAAGCACACCCGTGAATGGCCTCCCCATCAACCAGATTAGTCACTGGCATAGCCACCGGGACACTTTGAAACCACCAAGCGGGGCAAAGATGGGCAAAGCATGACTAGCCTGCGTCCCCAGCAAGCACGTAGCCCATCTTGTCTTGCTGTCATACACCGCAGATGCAGTGCGTTGGCCCCAAAGACATGGAATAATCGTAGCTGTTGTAGCGTCTGCACCCGGCCAACGGTGCATGGATTAATTGCAACGGAATTGCTCCCGGACAGTTCCAACCTTTAAACAATCCTGGGTGGACGCGTCGTTGCAGCGCACATGTTGCAGCGCGCACAATCTTTCAAGACATGCAGCATTCAGAACAAAGTGAAGATCGCTAAAGCCAACCCCCAAACATTGGACATCATTGGACTTTTCATGAATTTTGGTTCTGTTATCCAAACCTGACTGGTTTCGTGTCATACCAACAATATGACTATAAAGAATAAAACTCATGCCGGTCATGCCAACGAGAACTCAGGATATACAAAATGAGACAAACTTAAATCGACTTGAAGTTCGACAAATTGCACGCCTTCCCATGCTGGGCAACAAGCTCTTCAAAGATTGGCAAGGTTCATCAAGGTTCGCAGTCAACGGCAACAGACGACAACACACCAACGACGCCAACGAGACCTATGGGACTAAAAATCACATCCGTGAATGGCCTCCCCATCACCCAGATTAGTCACTGGCATAGCCACCGGGACACTTTGAAACCACACAGTGGTGCAAAGCATGACTAGCCTGCGTCCCCAGCAAGCACGTAGCCCATCTTGTCTTGCTGTCATACACCGCAGATGCAGTGCGTTGGCCCCAAAGACACGGAATAATCGTAGCTGTTGTAGCGTCTGCACCCGGCCAACGGTGCATGGATTAATTGCAATGGAATTGCTCCCAGACAGTTCCAACCTTTGCAATCCTGGGTGGACGCGTCGGTGCAGCGCACATGTTGCAGCGCACACAATCTTTCAAGACATGCAGCATTCAGAACAAAGTGAAGATCGCTAAAGCCAACCCCCAAACATTGTACATCATTGTCATTGGACTTTTCATGAATTTTGGTTCTGTTATCCAAACCGGACTGGTTTCGTGTCATACCAACAATATGACTATAAAGAATAAACACATGCCGGTCATGCCAATGAGAACTCAGGATATACAAAATGAGACAAACTTAAATCGACTTGAAGTCCGACAAATTGCACGCTTTCCCATGCTTGGCAACAAGCTCTTCAAAGATTGGCAAGGTTCATCAAGGTTCGCAGTCAACGGCAACAGACGACAACACACCAACGACGCCAACGAGACCTATGGGACTAAAAATCACATCCGTGAATGGCCTCCCCATCAACCAGATTAGTCACTGGCATAGCCACCGGGACACTTTGAAACCACACAGTGGGGCAAAGCATGACTAGCCTGCGTCCCCAGCAAGCACGTAGCCCATCTTGTCTTGCTGTCATACACCGCAGATGCAGTGCGTTGGCCCCAAAGACACGGAATAATCGTAGCTGTTGTAGCGTCTGCACCCGGCCAACGGTGCATGGATTAATTGCAACGGAATTGCTCCCGGACAGTTCCAACCTTTGCAATCCTGGGTGGACGCGTCGGTGCAGCGCACATGTTGCAGCGCACACAATCTTTCAAGACATGCAGCATTCAGAACAAAGTGAAGATCGCTAAAGCCAACCCCCAAACATTGGACATCATTGGACTTTTCATGAATTTTGGTTCTGTTATCCAAACCGGACTGGTTTCGTGTCATACCAACAATATGACTATAAAGAATAAAACACATGCCGGTCATGCCAATGAGAACTCAGGATATACAAAACTTGAGGCCGGGGGTGGATGACGAAAGCTAGCGGGGTAGGAGAAATAAGGAAGGGAAGAGGTGAGTTGCGGAGGGACTGTCATCATCGTGTCGCGGCATTGTTCAACCCAACGAGGATGCAACAATGATATATGATATATGATATATGATGATATATAACAATGATATATATGGGGGAGGGGGCAGGGGGGGGCCCTTTCGCGGGAAAAATCACGTGATGTCCTTGGGGAGCCCCAGAATACTTGCTAAAGCAAGAAGACTCTAGCGAGCTGACGCTACCTTTCGTGATAATGCCAACAATTGCCAATAATGATGAAATGTAAGTGAATAACGATGATGATGATGATGATGATGATGATGATGATGATGATGATGACGACGATGACGATGACGATGACGAGGACGATGACGATGACGAGGACAAGGGTGATGATGATGATGATGATGATGATGATGATGATGATGATGATGATGATGATGATGGTGATGGTGATGATGATGATGATGACGATGATGATGACGATGAAGATGAAGATGAAGATGATGATGATGATGATGATGATGATGATGGTGGTGGTGGTGGTGGTGGTGGTGGTGGTGGTGGTGGGGGGTCCCCCCCTTTCGCGTGAAAAATCACGTGATGTCCTTGAGCAGCCCCCGGAATACTTGCTAAAGCAAGAAGACTCCAGCTAGCTGACGCTAGCTTTCGTGATGAGACAAACTTAAATCGACTTGAAGTTCGACAAATTGCACGCTTTCCCATGCTTGGCAACAAGCTCTTCAAAGATTGGCAAGGTTCATCAAGGTTCGCAGTCAACGGCAACAGACGACAACACACCAACGACGCCAACGAGACCTATATGGGACTAAAAATCACATCCGTGAATGGCCTCCCCATCAGCCAGATTAGTCACTGGCATAGCCACCGGGACACTTTGAAACCACCAAGTGGGGCAAAGCATGACTAGCCTGCGTCCCCAGCAGGCACGTAGCCCATCTTGTCTTGCTGTCATACACCGCAGATGCAGTGCGTTGGCCCCAAAGACACGGAATAATCGTAGCTGTTGTAGCGTCTGCACCCGGCCAACGGTGCATGGATTAATTGCAATGGAATTGCTCCCAGACAGTTCCAACCTTTGCAATCCTGGGTGGACGCGTCGGTGCAGCGCACATGTTGCAGCGCACACAATCTTTCAAGACATGCAGCATTCAGAACAAAGTGAAGATCGCTAAAGCCAACCCCCAAACATTGTACATCATTGTCATTGGACTTTTCATGAATTTTGGTTCTGTTATCCAAACCGGACTGGTTTCGTGTCATACCAACAATATGACTATAAAGAATAAACACATGCCGGTCATGCCAATGAGAACTCAGGATATACAAAATGAGACAAACTTAAATCGACTTGAAGTCCGACAAATTGCACGCTTTCCCATGCTTGGCAACAAGCTCTTCAAAGATTGGCAAGGTTCATCAAGGTTCGCAGTCAACGGCAACAGACGACAACACACCAACGACGCCAACGAGACCTATGGGACTAAAAATCACATCCGTGAATGGCCTCCCCATCAACCAGATTAGTCACTGGCATAGCCACCGGGACACTTTGAAACCACCAAGTGGGGCAAAGCATGACTAGCCTGCGTCCCCAGCAAGCACGTAGCCCATCTTGTCTTGCTGTCATACACCGCAGATGCAGTGCGTTGGCCCCAAAGACACGGAATAATCGTAGCTGTTGTAGCGTCTGCACCCGGCCAACGGTGCATGGATTAATTGCAATGGAATTGCTCCCAGACAGTTCCAACCTTTGCAATCCTGGGTAGACGCGTCGTTGCAGCGCACACAGACACGCATGCAGTGCAAGTTGTAGATTGAAGATCCCTTCTGTCAAACAGAGCAACAAACACTGGTGTGGCACGTACAAAATTTTTGATTTATGTTGATTTCGGGAAAGATGAGGTTTTCAAGGGTGTAGCCTTTGAGGTGCCAAGTCTGATAGGGTCATCAATGGATACATCACTGGGGCATCACAGCAAGGCACCACTGGAGACCATCCCATGGGGCTACCGCACCATTGGTGAAAAGGAGCCGAAAATCATCAGCAGATCTTAAGGAATCATATGTCAGAAGCAAAAAATCTTGGTGAAACATGTTTGTTTTTTAACCTATCATACTTGATCCTTGGTTGCTTGACATCCCATCTTTTTAGCTTACCGCATCCCCATCTTTCTCGATCTTGAAATCCCAGTGGTGTTTTTCAGTGCCTGGAAACTGCTCCAAAACGCATTTTTGGATGATCAATCCCTCATTTTCAGACGCATCCAGATATCATATCATCGCCGGTCTGATGTATATCCGAATTTGATCCCCATATTACACGTTTTCCGGCACACAAAAAAGGGTCCGGCCACCTGCTTTTGTTCCATTTCCTTCTGCTGCACAATCAGCTTTTGGAGCTCAGCAGCCTGGGAAGTGGAAAACTTGGTGGATTCTGAAATCATGGACTGGTTTTGTTGGGAAATAGTAACCCTCAAGCAAATAAAAAACTAGAATTTACATCAATTTACCACTAGCCACTGGATGAGTAGATTTGTTTGTTCTATCTTTTTGTGGTTGCTAAAACCCGAAACCAATGTGTTTACGCCCAAATTGATTATTAGCGGTTCCTGCAGATCTTACCTCAATGAATATTGCGATGACAAGTGAAAGAGGGAGAATTCCCTGGGTTGTCTAAGTGGTTGGTTTTCGCTTACTTCTATACGCCATCTGGTTATTTAACTTAGCCATGGAAAATGATCCTATTATATGATAAAAATGATGATGTGCTGTTCTTAAAAATTGTGATTTTCCAGTTCGCTACGTTAAATAAGCAGAGGGTAACCCCTGACAATGTGGATACAGGAATCTCCAGCCTTCCACTAACCTTTGAGACACAAAGTAAGGAAACCAGGATGATTTGACACAACCACTTTGGGGGGTTGGTTTGAAAGCCTCTTAGGTATGTGGAAGATGGAGCATTTGAGGCGTTCAAATTTGTGATAGGAATATGCGCATCAACATAGGGTTGTTGGGGGGTCATCAATATATGTGCGTCGACCACTCTACACTGATGTTTATTGCGAGTTCAACTAGACCAGCAGTTACTGAATTTGGGCAGTCAGTTGTTTTACAAGATATCAAGATCACTGATCTAATCTCTTTGACATAATGGTTCCTGATGGTTGCAAGATATGGCTTTGTCTGAAAACAGGGCACCTGGGCACCTCGAATCACGGTTGATCATCATTTTCCCTTCCGCAGACCATTCTATCAGGCTGGGAAACTCTGACTATAGCTGCTATAGCTCCAACTGGCTCACTT